GGCAGATGTCGCTCTCTCCTGAGAACGGGGACACGGTGATGGTGTTTTTTAGCTCGTACTGAGGGAGGTTGTCTGAGATTCCTCCATCAACGTATCGCTACACGAATAAAGAAAAAAAACCATCAGAAAATCTACAGAAAGTAACACGTGATTGACTTTAAAGGACTCGTGTCCTTACAGCATTTCCTAAACAGGATGATGATAGGAATGACATAATATCCCGTGTATTGACTAATCTGTGTTTTTATTGAAGTGGAGGCATGGCAGAGGTTTCACACTGTGTCAACAGATAAGATGTGGATGACATCAGCCATCTGAACTTGAGCCACTGAGGGTTAAGAGAGTTAGAACGGACTAACTTTCAAAGCTTGTGTCTGCACCATCATATTTGGCTCTGCTACTCTCTAATTTTGGTCACAAGCTCTGCATACAAACAAGAGCACGTGAGCTCCAAACAAACCATCACAAAGGCCACGGCGAGCAGTTGGGAACGCTGGTATTGCTCAATGATGTTTCCCAGAAAAAAAACCTTTGTTCTAGAAACATGGCCAGCAAAACTTCCCCCTTTAGTGTGAGATCTGCGACAAACACTAACTCTGCAGGAATTTTATAATCATTGTTTCCAAGCACATGCCATTCAGAGCAAACACATTCTCAGGGAAGGGAGGCCCCTGACAGGAGCACTTACAGAAAGAAGAAAAACTGCCAAAAGTCACAGCAAAGCACAATAGAAGGAAACACGATGTGTAATTCAAGCAAAGCAGCAAAGCGGACTCGCCATGACATGTTTTAAACATGCTGTGCTTCTATATTCCAACATTTAATATCTTCTTAGGGAAAGATTTAATTAAATATTCCAAAAGCAGGAACGTGAGATTAAAAGAAAGGTGCACAGGTGCCAGATAAGAGTACATTTACTTACTACTCCTTGCAGTGTGGGAGGAATGATGCCACAGTACACTGGGATGTAGGCACTGCAGACACACGCCTGATTTGGAAAACAAATAATAAGAAACAACGTCTGATTACTAATTGTAAATGGAAATACAGTTCTTTGACTGCTGGAGATTTTCTGATTGATTTAAATCAAATCAAGCAGACTGCAGCTAAATAATACTCTCAGCACATAAACGCTGTGATATCAGAAATTATTATTATTGTTTTTCTGGTCTTAAAGGATATTTTATAATAACATTAACTAAAAAATTTTTTTTTAAAACTAGGGCTGCAGCTTGTAACTTTTATTATTACAATATAACAACCTACACAACAATTCAAGCACAACATATCAGAAAATGGTGAAAACATTGTGTGTCATAGTCCAGTGTAGCATCTGCATATCATTTGTTTTGCCTCAATAACAAAGGAGCTGCAGTGGAGATGAATATTATGTTGCAGCAAGCCTGCTGATCAAAGTATTAACACTGCATACCTGCACCACTTCCTCCTTGTTGTTGAACTGGGTCACCAGGACGTTTTCTCCATCTGTAACTCGGGTGAGAGAGATTCCCAGCCTCCCACTGGCTCGATGGTGGCAATCAGCTGGCAGAGTGCGTCGCAGCATGTGTCGCACGATCTTCACCAGGTTAAAGGAAGGATGCATCGGCCCGAGGAACCGCTTTCTCGCATCTTTGGCAACCTCAATGATGCTTGCACCAGCCTCTCCTGTGAAACAGGGAAACAGACATTGGCGTCTGGGAACTGTTGTGCGCTTTATGACAGAAAGTTTTGGTCCTTTTGTTCGAGACAGGTTAATGGACATCAGTGTAACATATA